TTGTAACCCTTCTAGGCGTTGATTTTACTTACTGTAGTCATCAAAGCGAACGGTCCGAATAATCATTAACGTGAACTGGTTTTGCGGCTCTAAAGAGACTCTGGAGGTGGTGAAGCTGCCAAAAAATGAGGATGCGCGGGAGGGGGTGGGAAGCATGGGTAATTCAAGGTTTCCAGCTGGTCCATTCAACTGTGTCAGTGAACCATATCGTTGTGTTACCTTCAGGAGGACTGTGCTCGGCCAACCCAACCTTTGTCCCCATCGATTCAACAACTGAGGACCTTACTGAGGAGCGAAGGAATTTGGAGTGAGTGACGGAAAGAGGAGAGCCCCTTCTCTTCGCTCTTGGTCACGATACGGTATGGCTCTGACCCAATCAGCCAACTAAAATTCCAATTATTTCGGTCAGAGCTGGGTCAGGGGAGGAATGAGGGGGGAGCCTAGGTCTTCTCCAAACAATTATCAGAATTATCTATCGGAAATGGAGGTTAACAGTAGTAGTAGTAACGCCATAGCCACAACACCAAAGGGGAAGTTTCTGTCAGAAACAACCTCCATTCCTCCTCTATTCCCCCTTTCCCCTTAATCAGTGGGAATCTTCCAGCAATGCTGCACCCTGATGCCAGAAGAATATCCATCACGAGTTCCTTCCAGCAGAGAAAGGATTTCTTACACAAGGACGATGCCTTTCAAACAGATGGTTCTGAACAATAGTACAGCCTCCGAATTGCCTCAAACTTTTCTGCGCAAAAACTTCAAGCCGGTAAAGTCGTTAACCTCAAAGTGTCTGAAACTTGATGGCCTGATCGAGATCGAAGCAAGCGTAACGGAGAAAAAACGCCGTTCAAACAATTGGCTTGCGGATTCCTTCGACACTGTTTTCAACGAATCGGAGCCAATGAGGCCTAAGCGCCATTAATTGCTGAAGCCTCGGCTTCTTCAGAGTCTCTCTTCTCAAGAACGCCGTTCCCCTCCCCTCCTGTTCCGCAGTTGTGAGTGTGTTTTAGTAAGGGACCTATGGCACAAGATTAACCTTTTACTCCGGGTTGTCCCTGATCTAATGAAGACTTTACAACCAAGGCCAACCGTACGATACGGACCATGGAAAGCACTTGGAATGGGAGGTGGGGGGGGCAGAAGAGAGGTAAGCAGGGCACGTCGACATTCGGAATTCCTCGACAAGGAGCTGTATTTCAGTTTTGGGAGGCTACGTATACAGTTAGTGATGTCAC